TATGAAGGTGTGTAAGGAAATGGTCTAGATTTCACGTACTACTCACGATTTTTTATCTACCTGGGTTCCTCTTACCCATTCTACTACTACCTCTTGTTCATTTGATTGCCTTATTTGCACACCATGTTATAACTGTTCAGTGTGACTTGTTGGGATCCATTTGCTCAATCACTGGAAGTCAAACTTGTTTGCTACATGCTATATAAGGGGAATATTTCTTCGATTTGCCTTGCTCACGTGTGAAACCAAATGCAAATAACTTAGTGGTTCGGCTAGTTTGTTTCGTGAATGAATTTTCAATAATTACAAGGTCTAATTTCCGAGTTCAAGCAGTGAGGTAAGAGGACAGGAAGTTTGCGCGACTTTTTTTGTTACGATTTGTATCATTTCAAAGTATTATTAGCGATAACTCTGACAGATGATTGCAAGTCTAATGCATGAGCCGGCATCTAAGATCCCCCTACATTTTCAGCCATATGGTTTGAAGTATATTTCTTCCCGCTCTATCCAAAATTAATGTTTACTGAGGATTACAAGCTTCCATCTTAAGCCATTTATCGTCCACATTAGCATTAACGATTCTGGCTATTTATAACCAGACTTTGCAATGCAAAATGCACTACAGAGGATCTTTGCAGATCTGATTCGCCTATGACACTTCGCTCTTCAGGCTCGCATTCCAAACGTGGACTTTATTGGAATTCGTGGAATTTTTTCGTGTTCAAATGTCTTTTCGCCCATATTATGTGCCAGCTGCCATCTTTCATACACTTAAATGAGTCATTGTGATGACTGTCGTTAGACTACCTGAATCAGGAGTCTAGTCTGTCTGCCTCTAGCCTTGTTTTAAAGAAGTAGATTTTATCGTGGCATTGCCTCTTGCAGCTGCCAACATCCTCCTCTCGGATAAGGGCGAGGTGAAACTCGCGGACTTCGGAGTCGCCGGTCAGCTAACTAAGACAACCAAGAAGCGTGTGACCTTCGTTGGAACACCCTTCTGGATGGCACCAGAGGTTATCAGAGTTTCCTCCTACGACCACAAGGTGTGTTCGTTGGGTCGTTTAATCCAACCCCTTGATGTATGCACTAGCCTTTATACCGGCGAATTACTTTCCTGGCTGTCATTAGCAATAACTGGGCTGAGTTTACCCGAACGTAGGTTAGGTTTGTCGTTCCGTCTATATTCAGTAAAGCAGATTTCTATGTGGTAGCATCAATGCTTTATCGTGCATGCTTCAAGCATATCAATTCACCATCATTCCTCATAAAATGCAAATGAGTACCTGATTGGTCTCGTGAGGCTATTGTGTGGCCCTTCACCCATTTGCCGTATCAACGTTATGAGTTTGCATCCCTATAGCAACGGCCATTTCTACTCCTATATCACTGCCCTAACTGTAGCCAAATTTCGGCTTCTTTAAAACGTGCTAATTGACTAACGGGTTTTTGTGTGATGCATTTCACCTGCATGATTCAACTTCTGCCTAAATGTCGTGTGGTAGGTAGGCCGTGTCAGGTCACTGTGTAGCTTTCCCACCACTTTATTGTTCCAATGCCAAGAATGGCTATCATTAGATCCCGGTTTTATCAGAATGCTGTATGTGGATTGTGGCTTCGGAACGCAAAGTTGTTGCTGCAGGAGATTGTCTTGCTATGGGCTTCATGGGTTCAAATCCCTCTCCTGCCCTTATTGTCATCAACAGTCAAGGTTGTCAAAATGACCCACTTAAGCGATGTCCATCAGTTACCGCTCCTTCAATGGTGTGCTTGTTTGTTCGCTCTCTTCAGTGAATCTCGAATGTAATCCTCTATCCTTTCGTTATAACTTTGGCGTATTGGTTATTGGTGCAAGTGATTGCTTGCTTGAGTAATACTTGCCTTTGCTCCAAATAATATACCAAAGTTCAAAGTACAACGTTACTACCTTGTTGGTGTTTTTGGCTTTATGCATTATTCCAAATGGAGTTGTGTTAAGATCGTTTATACATTGTGGAGCAGCTCTTGTTCCCACTTTAGTTCGTCTTGCTGTTCCTGTTTCTGTGTCACCATCTCAAGCAACACTTGGGATTGTCTATCTTCATTCTCTAAAAGGGTTAAGGAGGAGGTGCGTTGCTGAAATCCTTTCTCTATGTCGATTAATTACGAAGGTTAATGATTCTCACTCCGTCCCCCGTCCGTGTGTCTTGTCCAAGTCGCCACAAACTAATCGCGCCTTTAGTTTAACCTTTTTTTGGCTTGAAAGTCAAAATCATTGCTTTTTCACATCTTAATACATCTCCAACGCATGTACAAGGGATAGAACTAATTGGCGTTAGCTTCAGTTAAATATTTTATTGTTAATCTGACTTTTACCCTTATTACAAATACGAAGATCTCATTTTCTGTTTGTAGCTCCTATCATTTTTTCTGTTAAAACGAGGATGATCGCGCGCTTCTTTTTCCGGTATTGCAATGTATCCTGCATTTCATTACAGAGTTGGGTAGGATTTACTCATGTGACACAGTTTTTTGGCTAGTCGTTTCATTTCTTTGACTCAGCCGTTCCACAACAATCCCTAGGCATGACGATTTGTTCTGCTCAGAGGTCTCAGAGCTTTTCGCTGGCAACCTTTTTAAATCGTGTTAAAAGCAAGTGGTTTTGCTCTTGCTTGACTCATCAGACATGCCAATTGGGTCATTGTCTGCGCATGGTTGGAATTGAGCCCCGACGACGTGCTGTTACAGCAGCAACTTTGCGGCACTGAAGTTCGTCTTTTATGTTGGCTCTGTTGCAGAGTACTCGTTACTGACACCTAATTTGATTGAATTTTAAGTTACACTCTCGGCCTTTCTTCACAAATTAACCATTCTATTTATTTAGCAGGCCTTCGTTTACGGTAATTTTGACGTGTTTTGCTGTAATTTTCGTGAAAATGCGACTTACGAAAAATTTCTTTTGAACGTGCTGATATCAATTTTAAATGTTACCGCATTCTAATGCGAAATAATGTCTCTTAGGCTCGAAGGATTTAAGTTATTCGTAAGAGGTAAGCTGTTATTGGATAAAATTCCAGCTTTTGGTTTCTATTGGCAGACCGGCGATTTTCGTTCATTTGTGGGTATAGTGAATGAATGAGCTCCTTGTGGATGGCCAATACGCGTCCGAATAATTGTATCACTTCTTGTTCATAGTTATATTCATTTCAAAGAAGAGCTGCATTGTGACGCCTTTTTTGCGTCGGTGTAGGTCGACCTCCTGTTGTTACAAGGCACGGTTTCACTTCATTCTTTAAGCGTCCTTTGTCCACAAATTCCGAGAGTGCAACCTTGAACCAAAAACTCCACAAGTTAATATTTTGTTAAGGGCTCTGGAAATTGGCTATTTGCACTTTTTCTGTGAAATTAATTTCCAAGACCCTCTCTAAGTTGCATCGAGAATGTTCTTTTGTATAAGTGAATTTTAGTGCGCAAACTTATGTATTGTTGTTAAAAGTGATTATGATGGGCAATCTTGTGTTTGTTGCACTAGGCCGACATTTGGTCGTTGGGGATAACAGCGATTGAGTTGGCGGAGGGTGCGCCGCCCCACTCCGACGTCCATCCAATGCGCGTCCTCCTCGACATTCCCCGTAACCCACCACCTAAACTGCCTGAGCGTTACTCGTCAAACTTCCGCGATTTTGTCCAGTGTTGCCTTGTCCAGCGTCCCGAGAATGTGAGTCATTCAATTTCATCTCCGTTTCTCATTGTTATTGCCCTTTGAGTCACGCGAACGTCTAGAATCTAACACCCGTAAATAACGTTCTTTTGCTTTCTATTTGGAGATGGAAAAGTTAGAGGATTTACTTACCTGCTTTTCCTTAGACGTCCAATTTCTATTACATCGTCAAATAAATCTTAAATGTTACCTGCTCACGCCAATCAAGTAACCACTGATTGAAGTACAGTGTGTTAAAATGTCCTCATCGTTTCGATTGGTTTAATTTTGACTGCTTAACCTGTATCCAACATCATTTTTGCGAACAAATACTAGGATCATAATATTGCTTCATTTGTGGACGTTTCGCGATTTGTTATCAAGTTTCATTATGGGAAGTTGAGTCTGTGCTGTGCTGTAATTTTGGTACTTGAAGGCACTTTTGAGCTGTGCTGACGTGATAGTGTGATTTTGTGCCAATGTAAATAAACCAGCTCAGTGCATGTGACTGCTGCACATCTGTAATTTCCACGTAGATTTTCTTTCAGTTTCCTCTCCTGTGGTGGAACCGTTCGCCACTTCAATGGTTGTTGTCACGTGTCTATGTTTGTGCACGCGCCCATACCCACCTACGTTTCTGGCACCCTGGGACTTTGGTTCCGTGCTTTAATACTTGTGTGCGGCTTTTTCGTGTGTTTATATTATTTCTAAAGCAATAGATTGCTGGAAACTCGGTTTCTTTTAGACACTTAATTGGAATTCTAATTAAATAAAGTGGTGTCCTTGCTACGACTAGTCTCAAGCCTCAAATCACGACACATTCATTACGAGAGAAGTTTCATGAAGTTCATTTGTCAGTGTTTGGTTCTAAAGGCTCTGAACGTAACATTGTTTCTGTAATCAGTCAGCTGCCTAATGGTGATCTAATGAAATCTTTTTTGCCTCCACCGTGTATACGCTTTGATAGGGAACAGAAGGGGTTAGTTTGCATATGCCCTCCCGGTTGGGTACTTAACCTAATGACGCTGTCTGTGCTTTGGCCGGTGAAGTTTTATTCTAGCTTTTGCTTGCATGTGCCTCTAGTCACTGCAGCAAAGCAAAGAGGTTTGTCGAACCTGAATATTCATTGCTCAACCGCTCTACTGGTGTTCGTGGTCTGATTGGACCTCCGCTTTGGGCACTTGATTGGCTCACACACTAGCCCGTTACCATCAGCTTTATTTATTCCCCTTGTCCACCGCTAATGGAGCTGCTGATGCCACTGCCGTCGCTCGCGTGGCTGCTGCAGTTCATGCTGTTGCGTATTGCCCTCGAGCGTCGACTTTTTCATGAAAGCTGAGACTATTTCTGATGCTAGGCTCCATCCATTCAAGTAAGGTGGAGCATGTTAAACCGAATCTAGTGACCGAATAGCGTTAGTTCCTACTATTGCACCACTTTGAGTTGGTGAAGGAGCTTAAGACAGTAGTGACGTTTTAGTGGCATTTCAAAATCATGTACGATTATAACTGCTACGCTCAAAGTTATTTTTCATGTTTTAATGCTCTGCTGCCTATTCGCTCATCATCGCATCGGGTTGTACATATACTATTGCATAATCAGCTAAGTTCGTGTCTTTTTTCGCATCTGGTGGCGACAGGCTTTTAAGGAAGTGCTATTGAGGGGTTGAATGACTCATTACGGCCAAATGTAAGGCAAAATACGGCAGTTAGCCCTAGCTCTAACAAATGTACCTTTATTGAGTTTGTATATTTGCTCAAATGTGTTGCAAGCTAGTCGGTTCTCTCATTTTGTATCCATTTCGTCCCTTGACGAAACGTAAGTGTCTGCTTTCCTCTCTTTCGATCAACAGCGCTATTCAGCCCAGGAGTTGTTGAAACATCCATTCGTGAAAAAACCTCGCAAGACAGTCTACCTACAGGAACTAATTGAAGCCTATCGAGTCGCACAACTTCGCGGCACTTTGGATGAAGACGATGACGACTCCGACACGGGGTAAGCCTGTCGTTATAATCTTTAATACAGGCTTCAGAGTTTCCTTGTATCAAAATCATCCTGCCAATTGTTTGCATCCCGCGCCGTAAAATTTCTTATTCTCATGTTCCCATCGTTCTTCCTTAAGCTCAACTCGACAGCATGGAGACAATTTAAATGGGCATGTGCTTACTTTCAAATGGGACTTTGACACTATCAAGATGCCCGCTAATGCATCTGCAGCAGCACAACACGGTGGCAGTACTAGCGTTGGTGGGAGCATGGTTCTTCCGGCAGTTCCCGCTCATGGTCCGCCATCGCCAAAAAAACCGATCGCATCTCAAATATCCTCTCCTGGTCGCAATTACACTCACCCTACTGTGTAAGTAAAAAATCCTACTTCTAGTACCTCATGACTTCTAAGCCACAAAAAACGAGCACGCGGGTATTTGTTGAAACAAGAAAAGTATTTATCCACCGTTTTATT